GGCAATTTTTAAGGAGCATAAGAGAGTCCCTGACATTTATGGGTTTAGATAATAAAAAAAGAAAAGAAAAATAGTAAGAATTGTGCTATCCTATTCACTGAAACAGGCATGAATCATTATTTGGGCTTTTTCTTTTTTTAAAAAACTACAAGGTTTCTAGACTGGACATCATGAAGTTTTATAAGGGTTAGAGATAAAAGTAACTTTCTTATAAGAATTTTTCCATGGGAGGATTTAAAATTTTTTTTTTCTTTTCTTTTTTTCTTTTTGGATTAGAAAAAAAAGAAAATAAAAAAAGAAGAGAAGGAAGACATTCACACAACGTAGATTTCCTGAACACCTGTTCTGTTCTAGGCCTGGCCCCAGATCCTGGTAAAAGAGATGACTAATATAATAGTTCTTTCTCTCAGACAGCACATAGACAACAGAGAGATGAATCTGTTTGTAAAAGAAACTGCTAGGAATAAGTGTTATAAAATAAGTGTTAGCAAAATGCTTAGGGATTCTTAAGATCATAGCATTCTCTCCCATCACAGACACAGCTAAGTAAGATGTCTTTATGGAGTTGCTAAGACGGGGTGGCCAAGTGAATCCCCATCTTAATATTTGGGGAATAACAGGATGCTCAGTTTGGCTGAACTAGTATATATATGTATATAAGCCTTCAGTTTTCCTAGGTCACTCAAAGTACAGATTTTCTCTCTCTCTCTCTCTTTTTCTCCCTGTCTCTGAACAAGTTTCACTCTTGTTGCCCAGGCTGGAGTGCAATGGAATGATCTCAGCCCACCACACCTTCTGCCTCCCAGATTCAAGCAATTCTCCTGCCTCAGCCTCCCAAGTAGCTGGGATTACAGGCATGCACCACCATGCCTGGCTAATTTCATTGTTTTTTGTTTGTTTGTTTTTTAGAGATGCGGTTTCTCCATGTTGGTCAGGTTGGTCTCGAACTCCCCACCTCAGGTGATCTATCTGCCTCGGCCTCCCAAAGTGCTGGGTTTATAGGTGTGAGCCACTGTGCCTGGCCTGAAGTGCAATATTAATAATAATAGGCAGAAAAAACCAACAAACATTTGTTGATTGTTACTTTGCCGGCATTGTACTGAACATTGAAAAAAACATTACCTCACTTCATCCTCCCACAGACCCTATGTGCCTTTGAGATAGTCACTGGGATTGTCCTTCTTTTATGGAAGAAAAAAAAAAAAAAAAAACAAGCTCTCATCAGGATATGTGATTGACTTACATGTCGTGCATCTTCCAAGTGCTCAGGCTGGGACAGTTATGGATGTCAAAGCTGCAAAGGATACTTGTGAGTAGCTGGAGATTTGACTCAGGCATGATACCCTGAGGCTCCATGCCTGTGGGAGGCCAGAGCAGGGATGCCTGGGACGGAAGGCGAGGGCTGGGCAGGACTGAAGCATTCTGACTTCATTTGTACTAGCAGATAATGAAGAGGGGAGTCTGGGGTCGGTGCACAGGCTGCACTGAGAACAAAAGAGGCTGGAAGAAGGAGCCCAGTGGAAATCAGCAAAGGTGTTGGTGAGGGGCTGCAGGGTGGTGTCAGTGGGATCAGAAAAGGTGAGTGTTGTATTGTCATTCATTTTAGGCGGTGTGTTGTATGTTGTGTGTGTTTGTACATGTGAATGTGTATATGTAAACATGCTATACAAATTAAGCCAATTAACTATAGCCAAGGGGCACTTAGCTAAATGTTTAATAGACACCAACTGAGGATATGAACTCAACTCAGGCTGGTATTCCTGGGGAGGCCACCGCAAGCCCTTCTCTTGTGCTTAAACTCCCATGATAGTCAGATGGTTTGTTAAATAACATAATGGCTACTATGAAAAGGTGGATGGTTTTTTTATTGGTGAAATTAATAGTGTTTAAGTTATACAGAGTCATGTCAAACATGTGTAAACCTCTTTAAAATCATTAAGAACCTAGCCCAAGAGAAAAATAGTCAAAAGTTAAACACATATTTCATAGTCTATAATAAATACTTGATTTGTATAGCATCATAGTAATGCAAATCAAGGCAACACTGAGATTTTTTTCATACCATATACTTGGCAATAATTTTAAAATGGACAACACCAAATGATAGAGAAATATGTGTCACAAAACAACTCTTTTACATTGCTGGAAAGAGAATCCATGTTTGCAACCATGATGGAAGACAATTTGACATTTTCTCTTAAACCTTCATTTATCCTGTTAGCCCAGTATATCCACAACTCAATTTATACTGAAGAAAAACTTTCATATATATACATATATATACGTAACAAAAGATTTGTGCAAGAATGTTTGCAGCAAAATCAAGAGTAACCTAAATTTGCCCATTAACTAGAAAATGAACGAATACATAGATATAAAATAGAGCAAACTACTGCCACATGTAACAATGTGGAGAAATATTAATAACTTACTGTAGGTGAAAACAGTAAGTCCCAAAGACCACATTCAACATATATTTAAGTTTAAAATAATTAAAACTAAAATATGCATTATATATATATATATATTTGTGGGGTACATGATATTTGATACAGGCATAGTCTATATACCCATAAATATATACACCTATATACTCACAAAAATTAAAAGTTAAAAGAAGGTGTTTCAATAATCTCAAATAATCTCCTTTAGGACCTACATTAGTTACAAAACAAAGTAATTTTAAATGAGAGAAACAGGGCAGATAACATCTCAACTAAGTAATTGAGGTTAACAGCACCAGTAGTATGACATTTAGATATCTTGAACTCCTTGATGTGATACACCTAAATGAATATGTTACTTGCATGATATTCTTACTATATATATACATATATATATATATGTGTGTGTGTATATGTGTGTGTGTATGTGTGTGTACATGTGTGTGAACGTGTGTGTGTGTGTATGTCTGTGTTCTCAATATCAGACCGAACTGTATCAAAGTATATTTTGTAAAATGACTTGACAAGTACTCTTTAAAAAGCTACACTCATGAGATACAAGGGAAAACTGAGGAACTGTCTTGGAGCATTTTAAAAGTGACTAGGAGACATGAAAATTGAATGCAAAGTAAAAAAAGCCCAGATTAGATCCTGGAACAGAAAAAACAAATTAGGAAAACTAGGAAAAATCAGAACAAAATGTGTAGCAGAGTTAACACAATGGCACTGATGAAATTAGCTCTGTTCATTTATTATGTGTTTAGGGTATAAATATTAGAGAAAACTGAAAGATGTATGGAAACTGTATGATTTTTGTAACTTTTATGTAACTCTAAAATTTTTACAAAATACAAAATTGTAAAAAGTTAAGCAATATGCATACTTTTTTTTTGGGAACACATGCGGGTACAATAGGTGAGTGTGAACAGGAAAACAAAGGAACATTGATCCCACAGTTCTGGTTATTCTGGGTGAAATTGGTTTTGAAATGGAAGCACCATTGATGTGGCTTACTTTCAAGGCATTAGCCTGTTTATTGTTTATCAGCCTTTTTATTGTTTGGCTGGTGGCTCATCAGTCCTTAATACATTATTAAAATGCTTCCTATATAAAACTGATGAAGAAATATATGTGGACTGGCTTGAAGTATTATGCAGTCAATCCTGCTCTTCTGTGAACAAGGAAGAAAAATCCAGTGAGCCTAATTGCTGGCATCCTCTGAAATAGGCTCCTCAGCTTAGGGTTCCAAGCCTGACTGTTTTTAGCTGATTCTGGAAGGATTTTTGTCACCTGACTTGAACTAGAATGTCAGCTGAATGGTGCTGCTAGAATATTGTCACATCAGCACCAAGTGAATATTTCACACAAAGCAGTGTTGGAAAGGACGGAGAGCTGAGCTTCATGCCTCCAACACAACAGGTTGTTGGATGCCACTTGTGCCTACTTAATAATAAGTGCTTATGTGTCAGAATTCAGTCCGAGGCTTATTTTCATTATGATATGCCATCTGAGGTTATGAGAGGAAAACCTAAGAGCCTTTGCTAACTCTAACCACTGGAGGCTCAGACGTAACCAAAAAGCACGATGTAGCTGTGGATGCGATGAACTTGGCTTTGGGAGGTTTGCAACAATGGGCTTTCTGTAAGAGTTAATGTATGCTTGAGACATTTGTAAAATGCTTTATTCATATTTGTATCCTGGCAGTGACTGACATAGGGTAGGCATAACATATACTTCTTAAGTGATAAACAGTGGATGTAATCCATGCTATTTATCATTTCTTTAATAAACGCTATATGTTATCCCCTTATAAAAAAAAGAAAGTTAATGTGTGCGGACTAAACGATAGATTGGATGAGAGAAGTAACCACGAGAAATACTTCGGAAATTATACCGAAGTGTGGGTCTCACACACAATGACAGTTTCACTAATCAAAGAAATAAATTTGTAGAAAGCACCAGTTTAAAGAGGGCAGTGATGAGTAGGATTTTCTATCTGCCGAGTTGGATTTGCTGGGGAGCGTTGAGTTAAAGCAAATCGGCACCTGGAACTTTAGGGTTAACGTGGTGGAGAGAAAAGTTGTGGAAAACACAATTTTTTAAAAAGTCAGTCACATCGAGGTGAGAGATGCAGCTTTAGGAGTAGTGTGAACTAGAAAAAGAGAACAAAGAGAAAGAAAAGGCCAGTATGGAAGCATGGGACTGCCTTAGGGCAAAGCTAGGCAAAGCAAAGGAGAGGGATGTGGAGCAGCAGTGCCGTGGGAGTTAGAGGAGATCTGTGATGCCAAACTGTTTGAGGAGAACAGAGAAACAAACAAAACACAACAGCGGCAAAGGAGGCTCAGGAGCAGTGGCTGACTGTGTGAGGATTCCAGAGACTTGCCAGCAAAGAACCCAAGACAGGGACAGCCAGGTGGGGAATCGTGACCATCCCGGAAGTGGGTGATGGCTGTAGACTAGTGGGCAAGTTTGAGTCCAGCGCAAAACGAAGATTTGTAAGACTTTTTAGATGGTGACAGCCAAGTGAGTATTAAACTAAGCCCAGGACACCCCTAGGTACAGAGCCTTGTGTGACAGCAGAGCTCCTATGTCTACAAGCTGGCCTCACACACAGCTGACATCCAGCCAGGATACTGCTACATTCCAGGGTTCCAAGAGAGGATATTAATACATGAACTATGAAAAGAGAGAATCAGTATGGCAGATAGAGGAGCATCTGAGCAAGTAGGAATTCCTTCTTGAGACGGGGCTTTTGGAGAATGGTTTCGTTGTTGTTGTTGTTTATTTGTTTTCAGAAAAGAAGGCAGACATGACACAAAGGTTGAAAACGCTGGAGAAAGAGCCTGATATGGTTTGGCTGTGTCCCCACCCAAATCTCATCTTGAATTATAGCTTCCACAATTTCCACGTGTTGTGGGAGGGGCCTGGTGGGAAGTAATGGAATCATAGGTGTGGGTCTTTTCCATGCTATTCTGGTGATAGTGAATAAGTCTCATGAGATCTGATGGTTTTAAAAAGGGGAATTTCTCTGTACAAGCTCTCTTCTCTTGTCTGCCACCTTGTGTGATGTGCCTTTTGCCTTCTGCCATGATTGTGAGGTCTCCCAGCTATGTGGAACTGTGAGTCAATTAAACCTCTTTCTCCTTATAAATTAGTCTCACATAAGTCTTTATCAGCAGCATGAAAATGGACTAATACAGAGCCATAGTCCATTCAAATCCAGAACTAGCATGCAAACCTAGGTAGTTTCATTACAGGAAAACTACCTGATGTCTCCAGACAAGGCAAGAGGCCTAGACATGCTTTGATCTGGAAAGCCCAGGGAATGTGCTCCAGGCCTACACATTGTAAAAGACAGTAAACCTGAATGTCTGTGTTCAAGTTTGCCAAATGCCAGACATCAGCATTCAGAAAACATACCTTTGAACAAAAGGGATGCAAGTTTAATGAAACTGAAAGGAAGGAGCTCTTCACGCAGTGGTTAGAAATCTTAAGGAAGAATATATCCACTGGCTGGGGCAATCTGATGTTGAGTAACAGTCTGATCTTTTAAACTGGTTTGGTGTTATTTTTTTTTTTTCTACTTCATAATACATTTAACTGTTTAAGTTATGAAAGCTGATTGTGGAAGTAGGCTGAGAGGATTAGGTAAATTGATGGGTGACTGATACACATTGGTTTGTATTTGAACTTGGGAAGCATGCTCTGTTTGCTGAAGTTCACACCAATGTTCCCCTACAGTGGGTCTTTTAAGTCCAATATCAGAGACACAACATGGAAAGCATGGGAGAAGAATTGGTTCACTTAGTCAGCTGGGATTTAGACAGACAGACACAAAATCTAAATTTTTACCATGTCCCTAATAGCAGGATAGCTTCGAACAGACTCCCTTTGCCTTTATCTGTTCATCCTTTTCTTTTTTCTGAGGCCGGATCTCACTGTGTTGCCCAGGTCGGAGTGCAGTGGCACCATCACGGCTCATTGCAGCCTCAGCCTCCTGAGGTCAAGCATTTCTCTTGTCTCAGCCTCCTGAATAGCTGGGACTACAGGCATGGGCTACAACACTTAGCTAATGTTTTATGCTTTTTGTAGCCATGGGGTCTCACCATGTTGCCCAGGCTGGCGCCGAACTCCTGGACTCAAGAGATCCTTGTGCCTCAGCCTCCCAAGGTGCTGGGGTTACAGGTGTGAGCAATCACACTGGAACTTCTGCTCACCTTTAACATGGGCTTATGATAACAATTCCTCCTGAATGGAGTGAAGACGGAAAGATTTCACAAGACTGAATGTCACTGGGCACATTGAAGGAACTCCATAGAGTTCAGTTGTCCCTCTTTCATTACGCATTATGGAGAGATAAAGGCCTAAGGAGCAGATGTGGAGGCTTGGAGGAAACTAAGAAACATACACACATACACAGACCAGGAGAAAGACTCAAGCAAAAGAGAGACAAACTATGTTGAAAGAGCACAGGCCGCACCAGAGCCAGGGGCGGCTCTGTCACTACTCCCTTCTTCTTTTTGATTTTTGAGACAGTCTCACTCTGTCTCCCAGCTTCAAGTGATTCTCCTGCCTCAGCCTCCCGAGTAGCTGGGATTACAGGTGTGCGCCACCACACCCAGCCTTATCTTCATTTTGGTATATATCCAAAGGATTACAAATCGTTCTACTATAAGGACACGTGCACACGAATGTTCATTGCAGCACTGTTTACAATAGCAAAGACCTGGAACCAACCCAAATGCCCATCGATGATAGACTGGATAGGGAAAATGTGGCACATATACACCATGGAATATTATGCAGCCATCAAAAACGATGAGTTAGGGTCCTTTGTAGGGACATGGATAAACCTGGAAACCATCATTCTCAGCAAACTGACAGGAGAGCAGAAGATCAAACACCGCATGTTCTCACTCATAGGCGGGTGTTGAACAATGAGAACACATGGACACAGGGAGGGGAGCGCTACACACTGGGGTCAGTTGGGGGGAAATAGGGGAGGGACGGTGGGGGGTGGGAAGCTGGGGAGAGATAGCAAGGGGAGAAATGCCAGATGTAGGTGATGGGGAGGAAGGCAGCAAATCACACTGCCATGTGTGTTCCTATGCAACAATTCTGCATGTTCTTCACATGTACCCCAAAACCTAAAATGCAATAAAATAAATAAATGGGAAAAAAAATAACAAATATAGTTATACTTGGGACACATGCTTTAAATCTTGGAATCCTCCCATGCGTATTTTAGCAGACTGGTAGAAAGTGGAGCAGAGACACAGCTAAACTTTCATCATAGAAAATGTTTGGTTACTTGAGTCAATTGTCAGAAAGCATGATGCCAGCCGTCCACAATAGAGCTAAGCAACTCCGATTTTGTCGTTATGAGGGACATTGAGATTGCTTATAGTTTTAACAATACCCTTTATTGAGCCTGAAATTTGTAGATGTTTATTATAGAAAATTTGGAAAATACATTTAACTAACAAGAATAAAATGAAATCTATCTATGCCAATTTCCCTAATTTAATCACTTTAAATATTTTGATATATTTCCTCTCATCTATTATACTTTCATATATATGCAGTTGAGATTATATTGTGTCATTCATCCTACTTTTATTCATTAATATTGTATAGTAAACATTCCTCCAAATCATTATAAACTTTTAGACAACAAATATATTATGGCTGTTGGATATTCCACTGAATATGCCTGCCATAAATTATTTCACCATTTCCCTATAGTTGGACATTTGAGGACCTTCCATTTTTATTTTATGACAATAGTAAATGATATGATAAATCTCTTGCTGGATAAAAGTTATTTTATTGATGCTTTTTGAGTTTTCTTTTCTTCATAATTAGTTGTACAATTGGAATTACCAGGTCAAAGGGCATTACTATTATTAGACTTTCTCTTTTATTCTGTCTGTGTGTGTGTGTGTTTCAAATTAAAATCATTTTCTAAAGCATTGCACCACTGCATACTCTCAGGAGCAGTATATGAGCTGTACATATATCTTCTAAAACAAAGTGCTGTTTGATATATATGATCCTTTCTGTGCCAAGGCTGAATCTTAGCAAACAATGGCTATTTTTCCTATCCAGTGTTTGGGATTTCATGACTTCTGGATAGTCAAGAAGATTTGCAAACATTTTTTGCAAATGACAGCTTTGAAGCATTGAGATGGGGGAAGGTTTCAGGTAAGAGTTATGGGAATTTTCGAGAGCAGAGATCGGCCTTCTTGGGAAATGTCCAAGGGTTTAGGCAGATTTTACTGGAACACAAGCAATTCCTTTTTCTGCTGTGATAAGTATCATAGGTTTCTCTTTGTCTGCCAGCAACTTCTATAGTACCATCAGATAATCTCTACTATCTACTAATTTAATCTGTCACGCTCTGTGCCACCATACATTGCTGCTTATATTTAGAATCAGCTCTCTCCAAATCCCAGGCATGTTTTAAGCCCTACTAAGCCAGAGAATGTGTGTTATAGCCCTGTTGTTATATAAAACACATACACACATACATTTTAAGAGCCCACCCTGAAAAATATGGCCTTTGCTTAAAAAAATAGGAAAAGAAGACAGTTTACACTGCTGTGTAGCAAAGACCATATTTTCTCGTATTTAGGAACAAAGACATGTCAGGCTTTATTGAGCACATCACTAACTATATAACTAGCGTTAAACACTCTATTTGCAACTGTTGCTGTGTATTTTGTGTGTGATTATCACCCCTAGATCTGCATCCTATAAAAAGATATTTCTGTTTGCTTAATTATAAAGCTCTTTATGAACAGGCTCATCTGTAAATAGCTTGGTGCAGCTGAAATAGAAATATAATTATAATGAAGGCAGATGTTTGTGAGATACTGGCTCATGAAACTTGTTCAGAATCTACAAAGGAGAAACGTTGTGAGCGTGTGTTTACTGGTGGGCCAAAGCTGAGAGCAAGGAGTGTTTGCCTCCATACTTATTTTAGAGTCTTCTTGTTTCCTCTCCACCTTTGCCTTGCTAGGCCTCTGTAATTTGGAAAAGATATGGCTTACCTCATCTCATTACTGAGTTGTGGGGAAAATTGATCCATAGAAGAGACTGAGACAAGGTCAGAAAAAAATATATATATACAATCACTAAGTTGAGTTTAGGGGGAAGAAGCAGAGTTTATGGCCATTGTTCCCTTATTTCTATAACGTGGGTCATGTTTGAATGGCTTGGGATTTGGAGTGAAAGATTTTGGTGTGGTCAAGAGGGTGTTTCTTCAAGTGATTAAAATTTCCTTTATCTAAATTCAAATTTTCTATAAGACACACACAAGAAAGGCCCAATGTGTAGAAAGGAGAAGGTTAAAAAAATGCTGATGTAACAGCTTCCCCCCCCCACAGCCCATTCTGGAAAGTGGATAGATATACTGATAAATGACTCTGGTGAACACAGGATAACAGTGTAGTTCATATGAGGTTTTAAAGTTAAAAATATTTGATCAAATCATTATTTTCATTCTGGTAGTCCGTTGTTTGATTTAAACCTCTTTGAATCAAATTAAATTCTTTCTGAATTCCTTTGTAAATGGCTATGGTTTTAAAGTCAACATATTTATTTGTCCAAGCTTTCTGAGTTATTATTGTTTTGGGGTCTTTTTAGCACTTTGAAAATGTTAGTACTTAATTTTTAAGATTCCAATAATTGAATAAATTAAAAAAGCAGGTTAATCTCCCTAAGATAATCCGTCTATGGGCACATTCTTTGTGGCCACACTTTCAAGCTATTAACGGCTAAGTGTTGGTATTTCAGAATTTGTGTATGGAGATTAGCAGGCATTAATAACTATGACTTTCAAATTTAAATAAATATTTCATGTCTACTTCACGTATTGAAATACATGTGTCCCTGAGATACTGAATATGAATTGTACCTTTAAAAGTCCAATTAATTACATTTTAGCTATTAGGTAAGATTTGGAGTCTTATGGGTGACCATGAATTCTTTCATAAAGTGACTAATTTATCTGATTTCTTCATTTCTGTCTACATCTTTATATGCAATTAATTAGATATAATATATATCTGTATAAGTCTATGTATTTATATATCTCATATATATTTTCATCCTATATGTTTGTGTGTGTGTGTGTGTGTGTATGTGTGTGTGTGTGTGTGTGTGTGTATTATATTTATCTTGTATCTTTATGTTTCTCACACTTGAGCACACATCATCCCCCAAAATTATTTTGCCACATGTACTGGCAATCGGAAATCAGTAATTATGAATGTAAATATCTATTATAAAAATAGCATTCCTCAATTATCTACCATCTTAAGGGAATAGTCTCAATAAGTGAATTTGTTGTATATGTATGTATTCCTTCAAATCCCTCTGCTTTCAAAATTGTCAATGTTTGAGTGGAAACAGTTCTCTTGCGGCCTGCTGGGAGCTGCAAGTGTCCTACAGCTATCAGGTGCTACTTAGCAGGAGACTCACGGTGAAATAGCAGCCAGAAATTGCCATCAGAATTTTGCTGGAACAGCAAAAGATGGTAAAAACAATTATGCATTGGGCTGGGTGCAGTGGCTCATGCCTATAATTCCAGCACTTTGAAAGGCTGAGGTGGGTAGATCACCTGAAGTCAGGAGTTCAAGATCAGCGTGATCAACATGGTGAAACCCTGTCTCTACTACAGGTGTATGCCTGTAATACCAGCTACTCTGAAGGCTGAGGCAGGAGAACTGCTTAAACACAGGAGGTGGAGGTTGCAGTGAGCTGAGATTGCACCACTGCACTCTGGCCTGGGCCTCACATTGAGACTCTCTTCTCAAACAAACAAGAATTATTAAGTGCCCTCTCTATGCCAAGCTCTAGTTCAAGTGCTTTCCATATATAATATATACACAAGTAGGTTACTATTCCTGGTGTTCACTGGAGGAATTGAGACTGGGAGATACTAAGCATTGTCTAGGTTTGCAATGACAATGCTGTGGCGCACATTCCTTACATAATAAACTTAGCTTCTCTATCTGATTAACAATGTTTTTTTGAATTCTAAGTCTTCTTAAAGATTCTCGATGTGTACTTCCAGATTTGCCTCATGAAGGAAAATATATGTGTGCTCTTTTCAATGTATTCTTGCTAGCACTGGAAGCTGCCATCCACAGACCCTTAGTGCATAGATGGGTAAAACATGCTTTCTTATTTTACCAATCGGTGAGGTTCAACCTAATTTCAAACATGTTAATTACTTGTATTAGTTCTGTGAATTTTCTGTTTAGTAATTTTCATATTTTAAAAGGATTTTGAGTCTTTCTGGGTTTCACTCTTAAACAGGTGGTCTTTACATATGAAGACACTTTACCTTATATCATGCTTACTGTGAATGTTTCCAGTTTTTTGCCTTATTTTTTGCTATATAATGTTGTTATTATATTATGTTTCAACATTCAAACTTAACAAATTTTTTTCTTCTATTTTTTGTTGTTTAAATGTTTAGAAAGTCCTTTTCCATAAGGATTGAGTAAAGATTCACACATATTTTCTTTTGTGCTTTATTTTTAAAATATTTAACTATCCAATTCATATAGAACTTATCTTTGGTGTAAAGTGTAAGGTAAAGTTCTAATTTGTTAACAGTGAAATGTTTTAAACACTAGTCACACTGAAGCATCTTTACCTTTGGTTTGTGATGTATTCTGTATTGAAAATATCATGTACATTTCCATGAGTGGTGTGGAGGGGTATGTGTCTTCCATAACTCTTTTCTATTAACTTATCTGTCAATTCTTCTCACAAAAATACCACAATGTCCTTTTCCTTAATTTTGTTTTAAAACGAGCTTTACTACTTAGGTAACCTTCTCTGCATTATTCTCTTAAGAAGATTTAAGGATAGGGCCAGGCACAGTGGCTTACCCACGTAATCTCAGTGCTTTGGGAGGCTGAGGGAGGAGATTCACTTGAGGCCACGAGTTTACAACCAGCTTGAGCAACACAGCAAGACACCAGCTCTTGAAAAATAAAAGTAAAAGAAATTAGCCAAGAGGGGGTTGTATGCTCCTGTAGTCCTAGCTACTCGGGAGGCTGAAGCAGGAAGATCACTTGAGCCCAGGAGTTCAAGGCTGCAGTGAGCTATGATTGTGCCACTGTGCTCCCACCTGGGCATCACAGTAAGACCTTGTTGCTAAACAAGTATATTTAAAAGCTTTATTCTTTAAATATATTCCTCTTTAAGAATTTAGAATTAGTTTGTACAGATACAGAAGTTGTTAGTTGGCATTTGATTAGAATTTAGATAATAATTAAGTGGAAAAATAAGTTTACTGACATTTTCAGTGAAATCTTGCTGAAGTGAACTAATTTATAAGAGAGCTGGCAGCAGCTTGGGGAAATTGAATATAGTTTGTGTTAATTAATGACAAATGGCTATCTCAGAAGAAAAATGGTGACTTCACCACCCATCTACTCTCCCTTCGGGCTTGGTGCATGGATTTTCTAAAAGCTGTTTCACCATGCTTGGAGGCAAAAAAAAAAAAAAAAAAAAAAAAAAGAGAAAGAAAGAAAACAAAAATATTCTTCCTAGTTCAGGACTATTGGAAGTAGTGGAGATAGCTGGGTGTCTGAGTCTTAAATAAGAGTGCATATTCTCATGCCTTCTTCCTGTGCGTCTCCTTCCTAATAATTGGTTTTGCTGTAGCCCATCGGGATGTTAGCTCTTCATTAATGTGGCTGTTCTGATGTTCTCTAAACCTTTGCTTTTTGGGATTGTGGAGCTTGAGTGGGTTCTGTCTAGAGGCAGAGACAAGGGTCCCCTCCCACCTCTGAACACACATTTGTCACTTGGAGTCCAGACAGCTCTGCTTTACAAGGATCCTCTCAAATCTCTCTAGGGTGAAGCGATTCTCTAACTCTCTGGAAGCAGAAACTTCTCACACTCTTGACAATTATTGTGGTCCACACAGGATGTTTGTTTATTTGGGTTGCATATACTGATACTGACTGTGCTAATTAAAAGAGCCTTTTTTTGCACAAGGATGACATGATAATTCGTGAACTATTTCATATATGTATATATACATATTTTAAGAGATGTTTTTAGAGCTGAAGAATGTACCGCTTTTACATGCTGTCAGAACAGTGAGGCCACGAGGTTCCTGTAGGCTCAGAAACTGCACTGAGAGAATGAAAACGGAAACAGAGAAAACATGTCTTAGT